TTGGGTTGTTATGAATATGACTATTCAACATCTTTTACATTTTTAATTTCTTTCTTTATTTTAAAAAATATAAAACGGATTTTCATTAAATCCAAATCTAATAAAAAATTGAATCAGATGTAGGATCTTATCTAATGAAATTAGGAATCCAGTTTTCACCAATCGGATTGAACTTGAATGTTGCTCGTTACAGCCAGAAAAGCTCAGATGTAAGATTTTTTTTTTTTTTTTTTTTTGGGGGGGGGGGTAATATGAATAACAAAATTTACATTATGGGGGCTTGTAACTTGCCACGATTCCCATATATAGATCCTCTCCCTCCCTCGATTGAATCTCCTGTAAAATGTAAAATGTTTGTTCATGCCCAACAGCTGACAAAGGCTTTTAGTTTTAGCATCCCATTATCTTGAGATCTTGTTTCAAGCTTCCAAAGAACATGCTATTACACCATCCAAGCAAATGCAAAATCAACTTACAGTTTTGAAGATCGGCACACATCCCCTAAATGAAAATTCTGTTTAAAATATTAGGAATGCAAGTGGGGTGTGCCGAGACTCGAGAGGGGTTTAAGATCAACATAGGCCCAACCCTATATATTGGGCCTAAAGCCTTGCCTTAGTCTGGATCCAGTCCAAAGCCAAGTCCAATTTTTTTAATTCAAGCCTAGCCGGAATTGAAATTTTGCATGTTTCAATTGTGATTGGTCAATCCAATTAATTTAAAGCTTTAAAATATAATTTTTTTACAATTTGCATGTAAGTATGCATGCATGTGTGTTCCAGTCCAAATTAAGTAGGCACAATGTTGTAAGTAGGTTCAATGAACACTGAAAATTTTTTGACACCTGTCATTTAAAATACCCTAACCTATCTTTGGAAAAGTTTAAAAACTACTTGTGACAGTTGTCAAAATTTTTATCAGGTGCTTATTATATTGTGCCTATTAGATCCAATCCCCACTCATCCATCTAAGTGTTTGCATTTCTACCATATTCATTTTTCTTGTATATGTCATTTCTCAATTGCCCAATACTTCTCTCCATATAACATAATTCTGACAACTGTTTTATAAAATTTCCTTTTAGCTAAAGTGATATTCACCTATCATATAACTTGGGATTGAATCATCCAAGTATCCGTTAATTCTGAAAGTGTTATTCTCCTTAATGCTTCTATTATGGATCATCGAGCCAAGATAATGGAAGAGGTCACATTAAATTATATCTTAGTCTCCAATCCTAGTATATCCTGATTTATATTAAAATTATTATTGGGATAAATTTTTTTAACTAACCTTATGGTTTAGTTAATTGACTAACTCTACCCTTATTGTTCAATTATTGTCTTGCACCACCACTATTGTTTTTGACAATTGTCTAAAACCTCCTTTGTCATTAACTTTCCATTGCACTCTATTCACATATAACATCACGTGATTGATATTTATTAAATTCCTAAACTACCCTTCTCCTTCCCATTCATCTTTGTTCCTTTTTCTCCCCTCTTCTCTTCCATCTTCCTTTCCTGCCAATAGGAACCTCTATTAATGGATTCCGAGAAATCAATTGCAAACCATCGCATATCATTCTTTAGACCGCATGTTCTAAAACCGTCTATTCTCCTCACTTTCATAAAAAGGAAGGAGAGGGAGAGAGAGAGAGAGAGAGAGAGAGAGAGATGGTTGTGAATCAGAGAGGTTACCAAAGAATTTCACCCAGAAACCTAGACGATGTGCTATAGGCAAAATCGTCGATCACCGAGTGAGGATAGGGGAAGCCCAAAAAAATAGATTTATTCTTCTCTTTCTATTGTTGCTAGTTGATTTCAGGTAAGAAACATGGAAAAATTGATGATAACGTAACCCTCTTAGCTCTTTATATTTCTCTCCCTCTCTTTCCGTTATGACAATGACAATTGTAAGAAAACAGTAGGGGTGGTGTAAGACAAAGTTAAACAGTAAAGATAGAGTTAGTCAATTAGCTAAACCATAAGGGTAGTTTAAGAAATTTACCCTTATGATTAAGTGTCAAAATTAATATTATTGACTAAAATCAATATTAAAGTTTAAGCTTAAATTTATATTAACTTACATTGTATTTCATAATATCAAATTATGGGGATGTTTGGAACTGTGGCCGTTTTTCAAAAAAACGGTGCCACATTGGATCCACATAGGTGTTTCAACAAACGCCCATGTATCTCATTGTTTGTTCAGCGATTATTGAAAAATCGAGCATGCCTCGAAAATTAGGACTCCGCCGATGCATGAAATGCTAAATTTGGCGTTTCATGCATCGGTGAACCGTTTCCCCCAACGGTTGACTGATGTGTATCCTATGTGGTGCTTACCTATCAGCACATACATAAAAAACGGTGATGAAAATCATCTCACCAAACAGCATAGTATTGCTCACTGCCTACATGGCAGAAGCGTTTTTTTGTAAACAAATGGGTTTTGGAAGCATGAGTGGTTTTCTTGAAAATCAATCCCAAAAAGCGCCCACGTTTCCAAACACCATCTACATTGATGAAATTTGAAAGCAAAAAGAGGGGTTATGCGTTGATTGGGGTGCACTGAATGAAAAGCTTAAAAAGCTTCATCGAGCTTCACCGAAAAGCAGATGTACCGCTCATTAGGCTTTTTGTTAAATTTTCAGATTTTTACCAAACACGGCTTGACCTGATGGTGGTTCGGATTCGATGCAACACCATAAGCCGCTGCTGCGTGAAAGCCCTCTCAAACAGGGGCACCAAAGCAGAAAATATGACAGCTCTAGGAATTGTACCGCGGCATGGTAATGATAAGTATCCTGTACTTGGGGTATTAAGTATCCTAAACTTTCAGAAATAGACACTTAGATACCTAAACTTTAAATCATAAAATTTTAAAAGACCAAAATAACCTTAATTAAAAGTTGGGTTCTTTGGTCTGGGCACCAATGTTGCTCATCATGGAGAGAAGAAACTATTGCCGCCACGAGTAGAAGAAATCGTTGCTGCCGCTTGAGCAAAAATAACTTAACTCAGCAAAAATAGCTAAATCTCATGCACCATTGTTGCTCATCGTGGAAAGAAACTATTGCCGCCTGAGAAGAAATGACAAGAATCCGTCAGAAAGTCAATTATCTCGTCAATCTCCCGGTCACAAGCTTGTTTCAAACGAAAAAAAAACTCTTGGTTCCCCTACTACAGTAATCAATCTTAGGCCGAAATACGACCAAGTAAACTTTATTATCATCCCCCGCATTTTGTTATTTCATTTTCATGTTTTTCCGATTTGATTCCCTTGCATTTTGCTATGGAGTTGTCAGGATCCGAATGGGGGTAGTAAGCGGAACGGGTGATGAAGCTCCCGCTGCACCAATACCCTTGAAACTTTTGATGCTAACCTAATAATCTCGACATCATTTTTTTTCATATTTTCTAGATTCGTTAGTTGCTCAAACAATTAACGTTTGTTGTTGTTTTCTTTTATCTACGAATCAGTTTCTTCCCACTGATTTCATCAGTAGTAGACTTTTAGCTGTAATGGATGCAAACATGAATTTTAATAAAGTATATGTTTTTTCTTTTATCAAAAGTTCACTTGAATGCATATTTAATTCTTTTTTATTGATGTATTTTTACATCTAATTATCAATGTAAATATACATTGATATGTCATTTGTTAATTCATAAATGTAATATTGCCAAAAACAGGCAAAAGTGAACCAGAGTATAAATTTACCCTGAATCGAGATTTACACTCCAATTGGATCATTTTCAAACGCAGCCTTAGTCTAGGATTGTTTCTTTAGTCATAACTGATATAATGTTTGCCATGTTCAAAACAGATGTATGATATTTGCCTCATTGAATGCTGATTTGTTCAATATTTTTATTTTTCACTCTCACACCTGAGAATGAAACCCCTTTTCTATTTTATCTCTATTTTAGTGATTCATTCACTTTTAGTGTAGTTGAGGCCTAAGCGTTACTACCCCACACTATCTGTAATTTACCCCATGATATGTATTGTGTGGAAGATTATCGACTATGGAGCGAGGAGCTATCCATCGGCCATTGCCATTATGGTTAGGGATTATAACAGATAAAAGACAATTTTTGAGTACTAATATCAATAAAAGTAATATTTTTAATAAAATTTCAAAAATAAGTTAATTTTTTAAAAATAATATTAAATAAGGACAAAAACAATGTTCATCTTCTTCTTCTCGCAAACCATTTAACAACACCACTGCCCGCTGCTGCCTCTAATAACCTCTGGCAATGCCTCTACCCACTGCCTCCGCCTCTGCCCACCTCCGGCAACGGCGGAGGCAGAGGCAGCGACAACATTGGTGGATGCCAATGCTGACTCCAAAGTGTAGACAAATTCTCTGCCTTTTTAAGCCAAATTCTCTGCCTTGAAAAACTGGTGGCTCCAAAGTATAGACAAGACCAGAAGGTGCAGATGCTCTTAAAAAACCCCCCATTCCTAAGCCAAATTCTTTGCCTTTTTTCTGCTCTTCCCTCTTTATTCCTCTCCTCTTGAAATAACATTGCAGACACCATTTATTGTGTGACTACAAAGCAAGCGATTCAGCCTCTCTCTTTCTACCAATCCAGTAGCTTTGCTTCTTTTGATCGAAAGCATTTGATCAAAAGCATCCACCAGCGAAAAAAGCCATTCATCACCCGATAAATGGTGGATGTCAATGCCATCGTCGAAGGCGAAGGTGGATAGAGACATTGTCTGAGGCAACGACGGCATTGATAAATGAATTGAAAGAGAAAGAAGATGAACAGTATTATTGTCTTTTTTTTAATATTATTTTTAAAAAGTTAAATATTTTTAAAATTTTATTAAAAATATTATTTTTATTGATATTATGACTATAATCCTTATGGTTGTAGGCTTACGGCGAAGTCACGAAGACCTGCTGCTACGAACCACCGCACCAGGCAGGCATGAGTCCCGTCCCGATGCATGACACGTGGTTACCTTTGCCTTGCTACTTGTCGAATAGAAATTATATCTTCCCTTTTCCCGGTCTTGATCCTTCTCGAAACCACCGTTTCAAAATTTCAGTTTTCTTGCTTTTTGGTTTTCTTGTAATTTTAACTGAAAAAATACGCCTCTCGGACGCTCTGGAATTCCCCTGCCTCCTTGGCTTTTTTATTACTTTTTCAATTTCTTCTTTTCTTTAATCCATTCTCGTCTCTCTCGTGCCCAGGCTACTCTCTGTTTCTCTTCTCCTTTCACCGGCTTAAGCTGTCTCTCCATCATCATCATCATCTTCAGTCTCACAAAATAAGGTAAGTATCCTTTCTTCCCCATCTTTTCGTCCTTGGTATAATGGTATGGTTCTATTTTCTTCCTTTTCTGGTAAATTTTCAGCTATTTGTTACCCAATGTCGGTCTTTGACCATGTATTGAAACCTCTTTTTACAGACGAACTGCTTTCCATTCTAAATCTTGATAGTTCTTTTGATGATTCCACCTGACATTCATGAACTTAGTTACCAATTTAAGAAGTGGGTCTGTTCCGTAGTATATCTTGTTCTAAATCTAAGCTCTTTCTGTCAATCATTAGAGGATTTTTTAACTTTGGGAACTGAGCCTGGCATGTTTCAATTTGTTTGCATTTCTTAGCTTCTTGTAGAGTAAACGTGTGTTCTCTCATTTTTTCTATCTTTATTTTGCAAGTTAGTTATCTTTCTAATCTTCTCCAAGTGAGGAAATAGTTGGTTATGGACTAATAACTTTTCAAGGAAATGTGAATAGTAACAGCAAAGAAAAATATGCTGTATCTAGGGGTTGGGACTGCCACAAGGACAACAAATTGATTTGTTCCCTATTTAACACGATCGAGTGTGGATTTTAATGGGTATTGTTGTCATTGTTGCTGTTCAATTGATGAATGTGTGTTGATTTACAAACAGCATAAAAAATTCCCAACAGTCCCACCTCCGTTGGTTGGGAAAATGAATCCTATCAGCAATTTGACGTTTCTTTCTCGAAGCGGACAACCATCGAAATTTGCTTCCTTTGTCTCCTTGTTCTTATGGTATTATTCCAGTTTGCATTATAGCTTTTAAAATTGCTAAAGTTTTTTCTTTTTCTTAATTGTAAAACCCTTTTGGATTGAGGCTTCCAAAGAGTCATCAGTGTACACAAGGTTATCGAAAAATGGACAAAGAGGAAATACATGATATTTTTCTCTTAAACTCTACAAATTGAAGTTCTTTCAAGATTCCCATTTCATAAATTCACCTGCCTGTATTAATGCATATACTTGATTCAGTTTGGTATTTCCCTCCCACTGTGTTTATGGTGTTTGTGCACCCACCAGCAAGTGAAATCTGTATATTGATCGGCCAACTTGAGTTATCTAAGTTTCCAGAGCAACCATATATGGATTGTTAGGAATATGTTAGTCCTTTTGTGCAAGTACATAGCCCAAAACTCAAAACATGGACTTGATGTTAACTTTACCTTGATGAGACCAGGAGTGTTGATATTTGAATGAAGGAGAAAACTATTCTTCTGTCAGTTTTTAACTTAAGAGTGTGTTCATTTGAAATGCATATTTCTTGTTTTGGATCCAAAAGTCTTCTCATCTTCTCATTGGAACTAGCAGTTAACCGAGGAACAAGAAGGGCACAATTACAGAGGTTTCAAAACCAAGGAGGCATAAATAAAGAAACCAAGGTAACAGATAAGACTAGGAGAGCACATTGCATTTTACTCCTCGAAGAATGTCACTAAACTGTGATACAGGAGATCTAGTATATAATGAATTTCTCCATAAGTTAGTACAACGGGCTTGCAAGATGATAGTTCTTTAATGATAAATGCATGCATACTTTATATCATTAAGAATACAAACAAAATGCCACTCACTTCCTGTACTTTCTAATATTGCTGCGTTGGCTAGGGCCATGTCAAAATTAATCTATCTAAAATTTCCTACTTAACGGAAGATGCTTTCATCTGACATCCTTTAAACCGACCATAGTGGTTATGCTTGTTGGCTGTTTAAAGCAATGCATTCAAATGTACCATGTCTGCTTCTGCTAGACGTAAGTCCTCTTGCAATTAGGAGTTAATGAGCTGTTATGTATGCACTTATGTGGATGCACACCCAAAATATTGTAATTGGGAGCTGAACCTTGAATTTATAGAGTGTCATGCCATGAATTTCCCTTTAGCCTTCTGGCCATATATTATTAAGAGTTGGGATATAATAAATATTTATATTTACTTTTCAGTTTGCAATGGTATTAACTTGCATTTAGTTACATGTCAAGTCTTAAGTTCTTGTATATAGAATGTCTTAGATTGTATAATAAAAATCAAAGTATGTCATCGTTGTAAAGAAAACTTCCAAAGCAATTTTATGTACAAACAAGTATGCACTTAAAGTAGAAGACAAGACCAAATTACTGGTACCCCTCCCAAAATAAAGAAAAGGAAAAAAAGGTTTTTGTTGTAAATTGACCCCAGTATAAGGGTGTGGTGCTTTGTGTTATTATCTTGAAAATGATTATTAATATGTTATCATCACTTTTTAAAATGCAGGAATGGCTGAACAGGCATATACTGTGGCATCTGACAGTGAAACAAGTGCTGAAGACAAAGCAACATCGTTTTTCCCCGAAATTGCTATTGGAGTCGATATTGGAACTTCACAATGTAGCGTTGCAATATGGAATGGATCCCAGGTGGAACTCCTTAAAAACACTAGAAACCAGAAAATGATGCGTTCTTCTGTCACCTTCAAAGATGAGATCCCTTCAGGAGGAATAAGTGGCCAACTTACTCGCAATGAGCATGAAATATTCTCAGGCTCTGCAATCTTCAACATGAAACGCTTGATTGGTAGAGTGGATACTGATCCAGTAGTTCATGCTAGCAAAACCCTCCCCTTTCTGGTACAAACTCTAGACATTGGTGTTCGTCCATTTATTGCAGCTTTAGTGAACAATGTTTGGAGATCCACCACCCCTGAAGAAGTCCTTGCAGTATTTCTGGTAGAATTAAGAACCATGGCAGAAATTCAGCTAAAGCGACCAATACGTAATGTTGTGCTTACAGTTCCTGTGTCATTCAGTCGATTTCAGTTAACTCGAATTGAGCGAGCTTGTGCCATGGCTGGTCTACATGTCCTTAGGCTGATGCCTGAACCAACAGCTGTGGCGCTATTATATGCGCAACAGCAACAACAGACTTTACATGAGAACATGGGGAGTGGGAGTGAAAAGATTGCACTTATTTTCAATATGGGTGCAGGGTACTGTGATGTCACTGTAACTGCTACGGCTGGAGGAGTTTCACAGATCAAAGCCTTGTCAGGCAGTGCTGTTGGAGGGGAGGATATACTGCAGAATGTGATGCATTATGTCATGCCAAATTTTGACAGTTTGTTTTCAAACCGTGGCATTGGTGAAATCAAATCATTGGGTTTGTTTCGAATTGCAACCCAAGAAGCAATCCACAAACTAAGCTCCGAAACTACTGTCCCCATTGAAGTTGATTTGGGAAATGGGTCAAAAATTTGTAGGGCATTAGACCGTGCTGAACTTGAGGAGGTAAACAGAAAGGTGTTTGAGAAATGTGAGAACCTTATATTACAATGCCTGCATGATGCGAAAATAGATGTGGAAGATATTAATGATGTGATACTAGTTGGTGGATGTTCAAACATTCCCATGATAAGGAAGTTGGTTCTGAGCATATGTAAAAGGGCGGATACTTACATGGAGATGAATCCATTGGAAGCTGCAGTCTGTGGTGCTGCACTGGAGGGAGCTGTGGCTTCTGGTATCAGTGACCCGCTAGGAAGTTTAGACCTGTTAACGATACAATCTACCCCACTGAGTCTTGGGGTCAAGGCTGATGGCAATAGTTTTATACCCATTATACACCGGAATACTACAGTACCAGCAAGGAAGGAGCTACTTTTTAAAACCGCACACGATAATCAAATGGAGGCTTTAATTGCTGTGTATGAAGGGGAAGGGGAAAAAATAGAACAGAACCATCTATTAGGCTACTTCAAGGTTACAGGGATTCCTCCAGGACCCAAAGGGTCTGTTGAAATTAATGTCTGCATGGACATTGATGCTTCTAACGTGCTGAGAGTTTTGGCCGGTGTTATTTTGCCTAGATCTCAACAACCTTTGACCCCTTATATTGAAGTGAGGATGCCAACAGTTGATGACGGACATGGATGGTGTGGAGAAGCTCTGCTGAAGATATACGGCTCTGCCCTAGACATCTGTAGCATACAGAAGAGGATGCAACCCTAAGATGCTTGCTTGAGTCTTACATGGTCGCAGTTTCCTATGAACAAATCTTACAAATCCACCATAGAGAAGATCAAGACACCCAAGATGATTGCATGAGTTCTATTGTAGTATTGTTTGTATTGAGTCTTTCACAAGAGCTGTCTTTTCATAGAACAGGTCATCCTGTAAATGTAGTGTAATAAAGAATGTTTATAAATATAAATGAGCTTTGGATAAGTGGGCTTTTTAGATCAGTCATCCACTCTCGTCTTGCATTTGATGTTTTACCAATTTAAGGTTGATTTTGGAATTTGGTATCAATATCATTACTGTTTCTACTTAATACAAACTGCCATTTCTAAATTCTACGTAATATCTCATGATTCTCATCTATACAAATTGTTATTTCTACAGACGGTTCATCACTTCATCTATAGATCTTAAATGACTACCTAGGTGATGTGACCACATATTTTTCAAAAAATATGCAATGATATTCAACACAACCTAAGTTTTTGGGCCTCTGCAATGGGGGTTTTTCTTATTTTTGTATTAATTGGAATCTGGGAGTTCAATTGAACTAACAGATGCCTCCGTCTAGGGAAATAACCGGGAATGATGCCTAGTGAGTTTTGAATTTCCACCGCATTTGAGAGAGTAGGTCCATGAACCATGATCAGGAGGTTGGAGACATTAATGGGTACTTAGAAAATGTAATTTGGGATCAGTTCTGGCAAAGATATAAGAGATTGTCTCGTTTCCATTTATTGGAGCTATAAACGTCTCCCTTCTAGTTCTAGATGAGGCCTTGTGGGCTTAGAATCAAATAAAATGGAGGCATGGAGAGCTAAAATGAAATGTCCATGGGTGAATTAGTGTATTTTAATTGCGCAATATAATCAAGTACAGAGTGTCTTTGTCTGCTGGGACCTATTAGCTGGATTCCCCTTAGAGCGTGCAAGTACAGAGTGGCGTTATCTATATTTACAAACGAAGGTAAACTCCTGTTGCAAATCCAGCAATAGAAATAGATATGAGTGACTTAACAGATCCCAACGCCTCCTAACCAGCTTGTCATTCTGCCTACACGGATGTCCCATTACACTTGGCTTGGATCTGCTGCGAAAACAGACACCATGCCAGTGTTCTGTACACGTAGACGGTAGACCCCATGGCCCATGTTATAAAACACCATCTTATTCACTCGTGATTGTGATTGGTTACATAACCCATGATACACAGTTTTGCGTGCAGCACATCCCAACTCATTACACTTGTGGTCTCATGCATGGGTATTAACAGGCAGGCATGTAATGGTAAAACTGTCACAGATTGAAGGCAGGCTTTGATGTTATTTCTGCAGATCCTGATTCTGCTTTTTTTCTGCACGCTTCGATGTTGTTATTGATCATAATTCTTGTAAAGTTCTGTCCAGATTCATACCAGATGGAAAAACATAAAGTTTACCAGGTCACGGTTTTACCGGTTAACCATGGCTCATTTACTCGTGAAAAGTTGAATAACAATTAAATAACCAGAACCTGAAAGCTCATTGGGTCATCAAGTCGCTGATTCACCGGTCTGACAGCATTGGCATATTCACTTGTGATTGGTTAGGGGTAGATAGTTATTCAAGTTTGGCTCGTGAAAAACCTGACTCGGCTCGACCCATACCAAGCTTTGAGCCGAATACAAGCCTCATATATGATTCATCTGTCAATCAAGCCGAGTTAGAACATTTTAAAGTGAGCCTAACGAGCCTCTATATATGTATATCAGTATATATATATAATATATATACTTTTTTAGAAAATTTTATTGATAGGGATACAGTTATACTATGGTCCCTACACATAGTATACTTTTTTGAGACTAAAGAGGGAGAAAAATATTTCTATCTTCTTTGATCAAAAAACATAAGCGGCTAAACCCTTTCTTTCTCTTCCTTGGACTTTCAGACTTTCGTTCTCCTCTGCAGACTGCAGCTCTGCTCTCACAGGCCACAGCTCTCACCAGTAGGCAGTCGACGGTTTCACCCTCTCAGCTCTCACCTAGTTATCGAAAGTGGGAGGACTGAGGAGCCTTCCGGTCTCAGGTTTTCAGCTCTCAACTCCCATAGTTTCGACGCCTCTGGTTCTGATCTCCCTCTCTGCTACAATTACAAAATACACGAAAAGTTGCAGAAAAATAGGTTTTTCTTCTCCTCTCAGTGCTTTCACAACCGACATCCAACAACAACAGTACAAGAGCACCGGTAGCAGCAGGTCCAAAGGATACGGCTGTGTGAGTTCTTTTTTTTCTTCTTCTATTTCTGATTTGGGGTTTTCTCTACAGACTACAGTTAGGAGTTGGAACTTCGAAAGAATAAGCTTGGTTCATTATCGAGCTCGAGCCGAATCGAATTCAAACCTGTGAATTTTGTAATGGAACCAAGCTCGAGCTTATATTTCCAATTCGAACCGAGCTCAAGCCCGAACTCGAGCCTTTCCTACCGAGCTGAGCTCGAATACTCAAATGTTTGGCTCAGCTTGGCTCGAATCCACCCCTATTGGTTATGTAGCCTGATTCACGCACTTGTATCCTCAGCACAGCTCCATCTTTTAAAAATAACCATAATTAGAATCATTTGTCCACAGAACCAGAACCGGAACCAGAGAGAGATCTTGTCCATTATTTCAATTGCTCGAAGGTACAAGGTAGTTTGTGTATATATAATGAATAGTAGCCTTACATGATTCACCCTCCTGCTTTCAAAAAAAAAAAAAAAAAACATTACTACTGGCATTCGCTCAACTTATTTAAGAACCTCTGATAAAATTTCACTGTTCTTGTTCTCTATTTACACTCGAATACAAATCCCTGCACCTGATCTCCCTCGGCAATACACAGGATGAAAAAAAAATCCTCCAAAAACATTATTTACCCAATATGAGCGTATTTGTGCAGTCAGTTTTGACCACCCATACAAAATATGAATCAATGACGTGTAATTGGATGAAGATGAAACAAAAGGCCTCCGCTTTCAATCAAACTTCAATTGCAACACGGGTCTTAATAGGTTTGAGCTTGATGCCCAGATTCTCTGGAGACAGGAGTTCTGGAGCTATGCATGAATGGCTGGAGGGGGGCCTAGCAGGATTTGAGCCTCGACTTGATGATGGAGGGGGCTGCCTATAGTATCCGAAACCCATCAAAAAGAATTCAATAGGGATGAGCATGGCATAGGGGTGCTCCTCTGTTACTAACGATCCACAGGCTTGAACCTGCAAAATATGTCATCAATTCCAATGCAAGAATATAAAATCCTGCTTCTCTTCTGCATATAGCATACATGTAATAAAGGCTAGATCATTTGGTTTTTATCACCATAGAATTTAGGGCAAAAACGAAATCATATTCCACTACCAGCTGGGTTCTATTGAATTCAATTGACAAAATCCATCCCAAGAACATCCTGAAAGTTTCTGGATACTTCTATATAATTTGGGAACTTGGGAGCAGTTCTATTTCTTGGTGAAAGAACCAACTCCAGGATTAATGTAGCTGACCCCATATAGTTGGAATAAGGCTTAGGATGATGATGAGATCCATCTTCAGTATCCAAATATCCCAAGTAAATAATATAGTTCGTCTCCCCTTTGTATACTTATTTATTATTATAATAAATCAGCTTCTGTTGTTCATCAAAAAATAAAATAATATAATTTGCCTTTCTTTGCATTGGCTCATCCTTCCTTTTCTTGGATTGGCATTGGATACCATATTACTTATTAAAGAACAAAAATTACTGGATAAAAGAGAGCATATAAAAACACACTCAGCCGCCAATCCCAAAGGAGTTCATAGTGTGCCTCTGGTGCCTAAGAAAATCAAGAGAGAAGTCCAGCATCATGCACATCACAATGAAGAACGCAAAGCTGGGACCAAAAGAGAGATCCCTTTAAAAAATGCAGGAAATTAAGCTGGAAACCTCCCCCCCCCCCCAAACCGAAAAAAGCCTCAAGAAAAAGTAAGCTGGAAACAACACCAAATAGTTAATTAATTGAGGTTAGCTCACCCCTGCCCTTTCTAATACCCAAAAGAAACATGGACTCAAAAAACGTCCTGAAGCATCATTCAATCATGACACTGCCTCATCCTTTTCCTCGCTTGGCATAACTCCAGAAAGCTAATCACCGTCACTAATAGTAACAGAATTGCTAATGACCTAACTTAGATTCTTCCTTGGCTCTAGAATCTCTTTCCATGAAAACAACCCTAACTTCTAAGTGCCATTTACAATCTCAAGCCTTTTACTTATTTCTTTTTCTATCCCTCCTCTCAAAAAGTTAGAGGTTCTATCAAGCACAATTCCTTTGGCCTTAACAGCTAGTTTACCTAAAAAAGAAACTACTTGATGGAAACAATTAGCAGTGGCTAAAAAAACTCCCTGCATGTTGATCATGTTTGTCACACCACAGGCAAAAATCAACTCCTGTCTGCAAAAGTAACATGGCATACTTTTTCTTCTGTTTACATTGTGCAGAGGTTGTCAAGTCATTTATACAAACTCTAAATGATCAAGAAAGTAGCCACATCATAACATGATTAGGGACGAAATTGTCTGGATGTTCATCTCCTCACTCATCCTTTTTCATTGGGAAATTTTCAGCACAAAAGTCCAAGCCATGTCTTCAAAAAGAAGCCCATATGTATGGAAAACTTTTAAATTTAAAGAAAAAAACTTGGACAACTAATAACATGGTTTAAAATGTTCATATATTTTCTGACACTTCCACGACATATTTCCATTTCCATGTGTACCAACATGAAATACTAATCAACATATTCCCTAGTGAAAACTACTGGCACTAGGTAGAGTACTAGAGATGGTATTAAAGGAAGGTTTTCAGGCAAAAGCACCCCCCCCCCGAGACATAAGGAATGCAAAACCCCATTCGGACTGCATCCACCACCCACCTAATGGACATGATTACCACTTTGAGCCTGCTCAAAATTCTTCTCAAATGTTAAGTTAAATATTAGTTTTTGTCTGTATAAAAGTTATTTGGTTCAAATTTTGCTTCAACTGACTTTATCATATAGTTTTGATTCTGAGTTTACAAGATAACCTTGCAGCATATTATTTTATTTATTAATTCTAATAACTTTCTTTGATGGTTTGGAACAATACAATATTTTAAAAGGGTGTACCTATGTCTCTTTTATCATTTCATAAAATCACTCTATATTTTCACCTATTTCACAATGTGTCCACCATGTATATAATTTTTACAATATTTTTCCAAACATTTATGACATTGCCAATGTTCCCTACATTTGGATTACTGGTATCTCCACTGAAACGACGTATTAAACCATGACTAATATAACCCAGGGAGAACATTAACAGTAGCACTATATAGTTGATGATAGCTGATGCTGACTGAGGATTAAAACATGGACTGTCTAGAGGGTCCACAATCTGATGAACAGCTCAGATAGGCTATACCACCTTCCATGCAGCAGAAATAAGAACACATATAAACAAACATGTCCATACAAGACCACTAATACATCATTGTAAAGTGATCTGATGGAAGTCAATGCATCAAAAGGATCTTCGGGAATGCCCTAAAAATATGAATAGTTGCAAATTCAGAACTTAAAAAAGTGTTATCCCTTTGTAAAGAGACTGGGCCGAATGGGCCCTAACAGCCTYTYRTGTGATATCCTTTATTTTATCTTTTATTTTATGTTGATGGGCCTCACTTAATGGGCCTGTTATTTGTTCTTATTTTATTTTTTTTATGTAACTGCCAAGCTGGCCGCCCACTTAAGGGTATACTTGTCATCATCAATTTGTTTTAGAGATTAATAAAAAATAGGGTTAGATGAGAAGGAAGACTAATTCGACTTCTTCTTCTTACCTCTTCTCTTCGACATACACAGCTCTTGCACTATCATTCAGATCTAATTTGTACTGTTAATCAATGATTTTAAACCTGATATTAGAGGACTGATTCACATCTTGGTATCAGAGCGGGTTCAGTTCCTCTTTCTTCTTTTTTTTCTTTGTTCCTGTACACTCTAAAATCAAGAGAGTGTATGGAGAGATAGGTTCTCTATAGTATAGAGAATCACTTGCCTAGTTGGTAGAAGGGTTTGGAGAGTTTAGTTCTGGCCAGATTTTGCCAAGAAGTGATGCTGTCTTGCTGCTGCCCGAAACCCTAGCCGACTAGAGATTTTTGAGTTACCAAGAAAGGTGAACCTTGGGTGTGGCGCTCTGTGCTTGGAAGGTGTCTTGTGATTGCTAAAGGAGGGCGGTTCAGATTTGGAAGAGTTTGGGTTACTCTGGTAGGTGTGGCAGTGTCTTCTCTCTCCCGCTCATCTGCTAGATGGAGCAAAACCCTAGCTTTTCAAGCACCCAAGTTTTGGTTTGACTTCAAGTAAGTTCACATAGTCAAAATTTTTTGTTCTTTGATTTTCGTTTGATTAATGGAGACATATGGAAGTGAGTTCAAGCAGGTGCCAGCTTCTGGACCTGCTCCAGTAGATTCCGTTTTGACAGGTGTTACCACAATTAAGCTAGATGGGACGAACTATCTTGCTTGGGCACAGTCTATAAAAATCTATGTTTGTAGTAGAGGAAAACTCGGGTATCTCACAGGCAGCAAGGTGAAACCCGAAGAGACAGACCCTGAATTTGAAATATTGATGCAAGAGACTATACTGTTATAGGATGGTTAGTCAACTCTATGCAACCTCATATAAGCCAGCACTATCTTTGGATGTCTTCGGCTAAGGAGATATGGTACAGTGTAACTGAGACCTATTCACAGAAACCGAATGTAGCCAGAGCATACAAATTGTACAGTGATGTGAAGAACTTGAGACAGGGGGAGAAGAGTGTGGCAATCTACTACTCCATACTAAAGTCCCTATGGCAGGAAATTGATGTTATGGAAACAGTGGTATGGGAGAGTAAAGGATGTTGAAATGTATAGAAAGCTAGTGAAGAGAAATAGGGTGTTTGAGTTTCTCACTGGACTCAACCCTGAGTTTGATATTATCAAACAAAACATTTTGGCCAGGGATGAGGTTACTCATTCACAGGCATATGCTATGATAAGTAGTGAGGAGAGTAGGCGGCAGGCGCAGTTGCAGAGTCCATCTACAGAACATTTTGCACATGCGGGAATGAAACCGAAGGGCCCTACTGAGAAAAGAGAGCAGTTGTGTGAATATTGCAAGAAACCACGACATACAAATAACACCTGCTGAAAACTTCATCCTGAACTTCTTCCCGATAGGTTTAAGAACAATAATAACCCTAAGAAGGGTAGTCAAGTGGGAAAATCCAAGACTGCTAATGCTGCTACAGTGCTTGAGGGGGGGAAGTAAGGAAAGTGAAGAAAAATCAACTATTAAGCAATTGACTGCAATGAAGCTGGATTTTGAGAAGTATGGGAGGCTCCTAAATCACCTAGAAGCTACTATTTCTTCAACTCACCCTTCCAACAATACATCATCTTCATCGGTTTTTGCTCACTCAAGTACATATGCCTCAGCAAATCATGCTTCAGTTTCAGGTAATCATAAACTCCCTTGGATTATAGATTCCGGTGCATCAGACCATATGACCAGCCTATCTAACATTTTTTGTTCATACCATCTCCTCTCTGGGAAAGAGAAAATATCCATGGCCGATGGGTCACTTGCCCCCATCTCTGGTAAAGGAGATATAAAGACCTCTGACACCCTGTTCTTATCTTCTGTTCTCCATATTCCTAAGCTTAACACAAACCTTTTATCTGTTAGTAGCTTAACAAAGTCCATGAACTACAGCATAACCTTCTTTCCCACTCATTGTGTTTTTACCTGCAGTCTTAGAGGACGATTGGGAGTGGCCATGAGGCGAATGGAATATACTTGCTGGACACACCAGATCAAGCCTTGGGATCACCTCATGGAGTTGCTTTAGAGTCAGTTGTGTCAGTATGTTAACAAAATTTTGTTATGTCATTTTCGGTTTGGTCATTTGTCTTTTTCTGCTTTAAGTCATCTGTTCCYAKWTATGTTTAAAKGAGTGBYTTTAYCTAGTCTTCATTGTGAGTCATGTGAGCTAGCAAAGCATTGTAGACATTCCTATTCAAACAGTAATAAAAGATCTCTTTCTCCTTTCCATATTGTTCACTCTGATGTGTGGGGGCCATATAACATGCCAACCATGGGGGGCTACAGGTATTTTATCCTTTTTATTGATGATTATTCTCGTTATACTTGGGTTTATCTCATAAAATCCCGAGATGAAGTACCAATCATTGTGAAAAATTTTCATGAACTCATCATCACCCAGTTTAATACCCGTATCAAAATATTCCGCTCTGACAATGCTAAGGAGTTTTTTGAGAAAACCCTCTCCAACTACCTTGAAACTTTTGGGGTTATTCATCAAAGCTCTTGTTCCTACACTCCACAACAAAACGGGGTGGCGGAAAGAAAAAACAGACATGTAGTTGAGGTTGCCAGATCCCTTTTATTTGCATCCCATGTTCCTGTAAGGTTTTGGGGAGATGTTGTTCATATTGCTACCTACCTAATCAACCGCATGCCCTCCAGGGTCCTTGGCTTTAAAACCCCCTTTAGTCTTTTCTTCCCGGATGAGGATCTCTTTTCTCTCCCTCTCCGTGTATTTGGGAGTACTTGTTATATGCATATTCATAGTCACCAAAGGCATAAATTTGAACCTAAAACTCGTAAGTGTGTGTTTCTGGGATATGCCTCTACACAAAAGGGTTATTGTTGTTTTGATCCAATTCGTGGCACCCGCTTTGTATCTCGGGATGTCACCTTTGCAGAGTTGACTCATTTATTTAGTGTTCCTCCCGAGGGGGAGAAATCTAATGAACCCTTTGCTATGTCTTTAGTTGTTCCTCTTCTCATCCCTTGTGAGTCTGATCATGAGGTGTCCACCTCTTCCACTGGACCCACCCCTAATCCTCCTCTTGCTTCTGCTCCTACTCTCCAAAGGTGTTACCAAAGGCGGAGATCCAGACATATGCAAGTTGTTTCCACTCCTTCAGAAGAGCACCTGGCCACTCCCACAGTTCCTGAGGAAACAGGTCAGCCCTCTATCGACCCACCTTCGATCGTCCCTGACCTTGACCTTCCTATTGCTCTTCGCAAGGGCAAGCGGAAGTGTACAGCCCATTGCATCTCCAAACATTTATCTTACANCCTTCCTATTGCTCTTCGCAAGGGCAAGCGGAAGTGTACAGCCCATTGCATCTCCAAACATTTATCTTACAACCTTCTCTCTCCTTCCTACTACTACTTTCTTGCTTTTGTCTATTCACATGTGATATCCAGGTCTGTACCGGAAACATTGTCTCAACCTGAGTGGAGGGAAGCTAATGATGATTGAACTTGAAGCATTACATAAGAACCATACCTGGGATATTGTGGACTTGTCGGAAGGGAAGGAACCAGTGGGGTGTAAATGAGTGTTTACCATTAAATATCACTCTGATGGCTTGGTTGAGAGGTATAAGGCTAGGTTGGTTGCCAAGGGTTACACCCAAATGTATGGCATTGACTATCTTGAGACCTTTGCTCCTGTAGCTAAGATGA